GTTCTATTAGTTCTACAGCTTCAGTTTCGAAACTTTCACGCTTAGTAACACATACAGCTGTTCCCTCACCACAGTGCAACAGTGAAAAGTGACCCCTTTCAAACAGTGTCGCGTTCCGAACGTTGTTTAATTGACATACTTGCGGTATTTTAAAAATTAATATCATAACAAAAATAAACACCGGTATTCGGTATGAACCGATATATCGCCCAGCACTATGTTCAATGTTTTTAAACCGTTTTGTTTACATAATTGAATGTTATTAAATGTATGTATATATTCAATATTTATGTTGTTTGTCCAGCTTCTTTTAAAAACCCATATCGGTTGACCGCCAGTTAAGTGTTGATTTTTTATTTTTTTTCCCCCCTTTTGTTTGTTCTTGTCTGTGCAGACATACTCAGGACTCTTCTGTGTGGTCATAAACCCATACAAAAACCTCCCCATATACTCAGAGAACATCATCGAGATGTACAGGGGCAAGAAGAGGCATGAAATGCCACCTCATATCTACGCCATTTCTGAATCTGCCTACAGATGCATGCTTCAAGGTAAGACCATAACAAATATTTCTTCTGATGTCTCAGTGTCTCCATGTGTTACAGAAATAACATTTTTGAATCCTGCATTTCCGCTGAGAATTTTTGCAGTGAAAAAAAATAAGGTGTGTTGGGTTTTCTCAATCTTTAAGCACTTGCTTTGTTAGATGAGACCACCACGTTGTTCAAATAAGCAGACAAATGCTCCACCTTTTGCCATTTTTAGCAGTTCAAGATTTCCTAAACCCTAAAGCAGAATTTGAGCTTACTAGCAGTTTCAGCCAACCTTTAATGTTATTGGCTGTACTTTGTGTTTCATAGTATCATGTGATGTAGAGCGACAGAAATGGAATGGTCACTATTTCCAACGGTGTCTATTATATTTCAGTTTATTTTTCCACTCTGAGAGATAAATAAATTTTCTCTGCCGCATCTGGTGCTTTCAGATAAGCCCCAAAAACAGAAAGAAAAAGGGCTGCATTTTTTTGTGTTTCACTGGGCTTGAGTTTGTCTTGCCCCAGCTGTGGATCGGTGTATATTAAAGGGAAAAATGAAAGATAATACATCCATCAGACGCTGTGTTCTTCAGCTACTACTAAACTGCAAGGTTACTCCAGAACTAATTTAGATGTGTTGAAAGAATTAGGGAGTCATTTTTTTTGTATACAGTGCTCTGTTTTTATCATATGTCATTGGCTGTGAATACTAAGCTTCTGTCCATCACAGCAGGAGATCATACAAAGTAGGTTTTTCAAATGGTTTTTCAAATGCTTTCTGTGTTTTCTTACTGGTTATTTTCTCAATGAAGCGGAGAGGTCGTGGTTTATTGTAAGGCAAGATCAGGAGATGTAATTCTCGGATTCAGTCAACTGTAATTTTTTTTCTACCACTGTCATAATCTTTAAGTCATCTCTTAGTAAATCTGGGGCAGTTGGATATTGGAGTGGGCAACTATGTGTCACAGATTAAGATTGTGTTCGGCAGTGATGTTAGTGTGTTCCATTACAACTGAATAATTTAATCTTTTAACTCTCAATTTAATTTTCACTAGAAAGGTGTTTATTTTTCGAGTTTATACAATCAATGAACATCAAATGTAGTCCGGACAGTGGTTTAATAAATGTAACTGTGTTTCGTAATATGAGATTTGTGTTTGTAAGTAGGCTGCACCAATTCTGCACTTCCACTGTGTGGAATGGAATTCTTGTATTTTGTTTCATTGCTGTAGCATTTGTGATTGAAATAATTACTTCTATATGTAAGATTTTATTAATGTAATGTACACTACACAGGGCTTGCAAAATTTCAAAATCGCTGGTAGCCCTTCGGGCTGACATTCTTCAGATTTTGGTAGCCCAAAATGAATTTAAGTAGCTTGAATAATAAAAAAAAAAGAAAGTCATCAGCTGAACTTCACTGCGGACAAATCAGCATGATTAAAAACTTCAGTGATTGCCTTTTTTCTTCAAATAACAAGTCAAGAGAGTAGGGGTGCAACGGATCACAAAACCACCATCATATTGCATTGTCATATCAGATTTTGAGTAACAGATCGGATCATTTTGCAGATGAGCAAGAAAAATATGGTTCTTTATTATTTAAATAACAGAATACTTCTTTGATACCACAGCAAAAACTAGTAGCATATAGGGATGTAACAATTCACTCAACTCACGATGCGATACGACTCACGGTACTGATTTCACAATACAGTTTTCTCACAATTTTTCTTTTTAACAAAATGAGATTTAAAACGAATTATAAATGAAAAGGTGTCCTTTTATTATTTCTCCAACAAAATGCTGCATATTTCTTTGTGAAATTGAAATATGTCAAATAATAAAACTAACTTGAAATTTTTTAACAAATCCCAAATCAAATAATTAAATACAAATAAAATAAATCTCTTCATATAAACAAACTAATGCTTTGGCTGTGCTGAGACAACCACTGCATTTTAATCGTGATCCAAACAAAGATGCTAAATACATGATATCTTGATTGGAATGAGATTGTATAATTTCAAAATTTGAAGCAAAAACAGAATGGTCTGATTTTAGCTTTGTGACTGAGAACCAAATGTCACTCTCTGACAGCAGGTGGCGCTTATGAAACAGCAGGTTTTTATAGGCTGCTGCCCCTTTAAAACTGATTGCACAGATCCAATATAATGATGCACTTGAGATTCCCAATTCTATTTTATACCCCTTCCCCTTCCCCTAAAATATTGAAAATATTCACCTAAGAATTGGGACACCACTACTATGCCGTCACACGTCATCATACGTCATCTAGCTTCTACAATACACCCACCAATACTGGTGTGCATTAAAGCCTTTAATTACCATTCTATATTAATGCGCTGCTTACTGACACACACACACACACACACACATATATCAGAGATCGCGCAGCTCACACATCAGTATTTAAACTTTTATTAATAACAGTTTAAATACTGAATTGCTACGTTATATTTTCCAGCAACAAGAGGATCAAATTTTTGAAGTAAACTCACTCTAAAAAGAGAAATGCACAGACGCGCATACTTGCAACTTTCATCTCTCTCTCTCTCGCTCTTAAATTGGCAATATTTGAGAAAAGGGTTTAGCGATTTATAATTATTGGGGGGACTAGCCCCCCTCAATGTCTACGGTGGTTATCGCCCTGATCAGACATATAAATATGTTGTGACACTATCGTGCAGTCTGTAATGATATGACGTTAGCAAACTTTAGCGATTTTTTGCAAACATTTCTTTGAGTAACATGACTGTAAATATGAACTCACGATTGAATGTAACATAAAACAAATTATTATTTTTCATTAAAAACTTTATTAATGCCAAAAAATGCTTACATTTGGGTCTTTTTGTTCGCTCGGGCAGCCATGTTGCTGCTGAAGCCGGTTTACGCTGAGATAATTCATACTCCTTCGTTTGAAGTGTGGTCCCGAAAAATCTTCGTTTGAAGGGCTATCTGGCCCTTCCCCTTACCCCTACCCCTCCAACCAAAAGAGAATCAAGAAACCCCTACCCCTTCACGTGATCGCGTGAAACAGAGGGGAAAGGGGAAGGGTTAAGGGGTACATTTGGGATTGTAAATCAAGGAAGGAATTTTATATCACTATTCAAGATAGCCTATTGGGCAGGGTGGTGAAACATTGTGGTAGCCCGAATGGAAAACACAATAGCCCCGGGACGTTGGGCTAGCGATTTTGCGAGCCTTCTACTGTTGAAAAGATTGGGGTCTGTACAATATTTTAAAAATGTTTTTGAAATAAGTCTGCATCTGTTAGATCAAAAATACAGTACTGTTATGATTTATTATTACTATTTAAAATGACCATTTTCCATTTGATTATATTTTAAAATATTATTTATTTGTTTTGATGGCAAAGCTGAATTATTAGGAACCATTACTCCATATTGGGGCTGGGACAATAAATCGATGCTTCGCGTTTCGTGGATCGATTCTGAGATTTTCGGAATGCATCGTGATTTTCTCTCGAATCGATTCTGAGTTTAGTTTTTAACAGCAGATTGTGCTCTAGGCTAGTTTTTAACTGCACACTCAAATGCTTACGAAGAAGAGCACTTGCACGTTCGGCTGAGTAATGTAAGTGGTTAAATGTACTTGCACATTGACTTTTTAATGCTTTTATGATGCAAGATTAATGTAAACACAGCCCACTGTGAATGTCCTTGTAATTCACTTCAACCTTTTCGAACTTTATGAATTATTATTTTGGGTTTAAATGGTGCGTGTGTAAGGAACTGGAAGCAAGCAGAATACGGCTATTTCTAAAGCACGCAGTGCCATCTGCTGTTAAAAAACTAAGCTCCGAATCGATTCAAGAGAGAATCACGATGTCTTCGGAAAATCTCAGAATCGATGCAGAATAATTTCTCAATCCGCGTTGCATGTTTATTGTCCCAGCCCTACTCCATATATTATTTAGTGTCACCTGATCCTTCAGAAATCATTCTAATATGCTTATTTACTGCTCAAGAAGCTTTTATTATTATTATCAATGTTGGAAATGTTTGTGCTGCCTAATAGCCTATATTTGTGTGCAAACTGATTAAATTTTTCATGTTTTTGTGATCAATAGAACTCGAATCGATTCTGAGTTTAGTTTTTAACAGCAGATTGTGCTCTAGGCTAGTTTTTAACTGCACACTCAAATGCTTACGAAGAAGAGCACTTGCACGTTCGGCTGAGTAATGTAAGTGGTTAAATGTACTTGCACATTGACTTTTTAATGCTTTTATGATGCAAGATTAATGTAAACACAGCCCACTGTGAATGTCCTTGTAATTCACTTCAACCTTTTCGAACTTTATGAATTATTATTTTGGGTTTAAATGGTGCGTGTGTAAGGAACTGGAAGCAAGCAGAATACGGCTATTTCTAAAGCACGCAGTGCCATCTGCTGTTAAAAAACTAAGCTCCGAATCGATTCAAGAGAGAATCACGATGTCTTCGGAAAATCTCAGAATCGATGCAGAATAATTTCTCAATCCGCGTTGCATGTTTATTGTCCCAGCCCTACTCCATATATTATTTAGTGTCACCTGATCCTTCAGAAATCATTCTAATATGCTTATTTACTGCTCAAGAAGCTTTTATTATTATTATCAATGTTGGAAATGTTTGTGCTGCCTAATAGCCTATATTTGTGTGCAAACTGATTAAATTTTTCATGTTTTTGTGATCAATAGAAAGTTCAAATAAAGAGCATTTATTTGAAATATGTTTTGTAATAATGTGAAAGGGTTTATGACACTTTTGATTCATTTTGTGTCATTGCTGAATAAAAGTATTAATTTATAAATAAAAAAATAAAAAACTTTTGAAGGGTAACATATTTGCTTTTTTTTGTATCTGTAAATGCCATGTACATAAAATTTTATACATTTTATGAGTTCCTACATTGGTACAGTTTTGGTAGTAGTGAACAATCATGCAAACTTGGAGTCAAAGAAGTTTGTCCAGGAAATGGCGAAGCAT